TAGGACGTGTCGCAAGTGATTTCGTGTACGACTGTAGGCGACGTAAGGGTGGACACAGGAGTGGTCGGCGTCTGAGGGAAGCATAACGGAATGTTGATGCAGCCGACTACAATCTGGGCGTTGAGAATATCATTGGAGGTCCGGTGAAGGATGAGAAAATCGACATCGCGAATTAGGTCCCGGGTAACGCGTGTGCAGACTGAAAAACGGTGGGTTACCTGGAGTAGTAGTTTAAGAACACAGGTAGCGTGTGCATCTACGTTGGCACCGTTTGCTGTGATGAAGATTGTTTGGGACGGCGTCAAATTGTTACCCCCTGGCAGGTTACGGAAAATGAATGCTTTAAAAACAGGAACAAATGCGCCGATGTCAACACACATTAACTTTCACTGTCTGTCGTCCCAAATATGGGGAATGGGTCTCGTTTACATGAGAAAGCAGGTGGGATATAAAATGGGGATTCACCGGGACTATTGCGGTGGTTGTGTCTCCGGCGCCGAGAGTCACTGACAGTAGCAACAGCCTTGTAAAGTGGATGGCTGTTCAGGAATGTACTGAGCGGCCATTGTGCTAGGTTTTTCGCCAACCATCCCCCAGCGTGGTGGTTGATTAGTTGCAACCAACTTGTTTGGCCCGGAGAAGTCACTGTCGGGAGGCTTAGTCCAGGTGAAATTTGCGGCTCGGCACCTACAAAACTTGGGAAAGTGCTTTTAATATCCTGGGTAGAATTAAGCAGCAGTCGCGGACAGTGGTTTTGCAAAGCTCTTCGCAAACGTGTTGCGTGTGTTTTGATTTTGTTCTTGTCATGCATCCGAAACACTGACCACTCATTTTTTTGACTTCATTCAGTCTGCTTGTGCAATCCTACTCAACCTCTCGTTTCAGCTGGTTTTGGATAGAAACTGCAGCAGCTTTCAAAACTGAAGGGTTGTGACTACGTTTTAAACAACAATTTTCACAAGGTCAATTTACTGTTTGATCAAACATTCTTTGTTTGGTAACCAATCGTTTCGGATTTGGTCAGTTTCGTTTTGCGTCTGGGAACTCCGTCTCTTTGTCACATGCTACTCGGTGGATTTGCCGTAACAAGGAGGTCTTCCGTGATACGGAAACAAACCAGTGCCTCTCATAGTGACATTTCCATGCTTGGTGGTGCTCTGACAGCGAAGCACTGCAACGTGTGCAAGTAGTCGGTAGATGAGTTTACAGGCAGTCGTTGGAATGCAGCAAGCTTCACCATGTACTACGAGAGCCCAACTGAAGGTCAGAACATTCATCCGGGAAGGTAAAGTTGCCAGATGGAGGGTGAATGACAAAAGACCCATCAGTTAACGCTCTTTGGACAGCTTCATTGCTGAGTGACACTAGAATATGGCCGTAGTGGGTAGCAGTATGGACGTAGCGGAGAGCGAATGAAAACGCTACTTCCACACTTGGTAATCTGTTGGTAATTCGAACATTGGAGGTTTGCGTGGTGTGGTACGTTGCCTCGGTGGTGTGTTGCTGGGTTTTGCTGCGAGAACTGGCTGCTCGCCGTTGTCTGCTGGCTGTAACTTCTCGAACTTGTGATTCCTTTTAACTCGGACTCCAACTATGCGACAGGCCTACAAGACGTGGCTGACCTTCAAGGTCCACAGACAGACGTGCATGGCGTGGGTACAGCCAGATCATACAACACAAATCGTTGTTGAAGTCGCTGCCTTGAAAAAAGCGAGTACAGCACACAAATTTTTTACCGTACCCATCGATAATGAGTTTTTGTATTCCGGGCTCGGCTTCCCTCAGTGTGTTCGCCGTACTGTGACCTGAAAGGGAAAGGGGTAAAAATGTAGCAAGTGTTACCAATAAGATTTCGGACGTTACATCATCCTTCTGAAGTGTTTATCCTCGGCTGAGCACGTCAGACTGCTGAATAAATAAATTAAGTCAAGCATGATACTCGTGTTTTCTAGAATGGTTACTTGTTTTCACTTTTACCGAGAACTTCATAACTTTACTTTCCGATGTATAAATTCTGAGGGTTTTGGTTTCGTCCGAAGTGGTGATTCAAGCACGCGCAAAGTTCCATCGTATCTTTTTTAACCTTACTGCGAGGCAGTGTTTATTTACGGTTGTGTATGATGACAATATTTACATATATTAGCTTCATTCACAGCCATAGTTTTGTTTCACTCATACCACGCTGCAGCTCATTGCCATCACTCGCCCATGCCCTCACCACCGGACCCCTTTTTGTTTGAACCCAATCTCGGAGAGTAAAAGATTTTGTACTCAAGGATAACATATATTGTGTGTTTATTTGGTTAAATAGTGTAGAATAATAAATAGAACACTCCTTGATGGTACTTCTTGATCCTTCGGAACTCAGAGTGGAGGCAGATTTGAGGCCAAGTACAGTTGATGCGCACTGAACTACACGCCAAATTTTTGTGCCTATTCTTAAGCATACAGATGTCTGACAGAAGTACAAGGGAGAATCTCCTCTAATTACTATATCAAAGCCTCATGCAGGGCAGAAAAGGGACCAATTCGACAAATTCATTCCAGAAGTAATGCTGACCTAATTTTTCAGGCCCTTTCATTTGAAGAGTCATGAGTACAGACGGACGTGCCACAGCAGCTTTCCGTTCTACTGAGATGATTTACATATACACATTCATTGGTACGTTCAGATGTGCTACGTAGACAATACTGCCACTCCCATGGTCATAAAGTTTTAGGTTTCCCTTGATTGCCTGATGAGTGGTAGTTGAATACCGCCCCTTTTTGAGACTGATTTCAGAGTTTCAGGACATACAGGTAAAGTTGCTGAGTCTGTTAGGCCTTTTGTGTCCACTGTATACAGCCTCATAGGACAACATGAGGCCAGTCAATCACCATGAGAAGTGTTGCAGTAAGGGCGTGATTTTATGTTATACTGGATGAATAATCGAAATCTCTGCCGTTTTTGTGGATGAAGACAAAGCACCTAAATGGTAAATGAAAAACTTGTGTGGTAAGAAGATATATGGAGGGACTAAGTATATACACCAATTTCCGATGTACGGGCGGAATTCTAGATTCAGCACTAAGAGTCATATGTAAATCGGAGGCCAAGGTAGCTATGGATAGAGGCCAGAAAACGAGGTGAGCAACCATAATGGCATTAAGCAACAGCACTCCTTTTATCCAACAGCTTTGACGGTTGCCACGCCGCTACTATTTTGGTTATGCACCAAAATCTGCATTGTACAAAAGTCCTGTGGATATGAACCCATTATTTATTAGCATCGTTTTGGCCCTGGGACTCCTAGTGGAACACAGTCCTTCAGTAGCACGTCGGCATCTTGCTCTCTTCTCCGCAGTCTTTTGAACCCGGCTCAACTACCGCCCACGGATTCCGCCATGTCACCCCCGGATGCCCAATTCGTCGTTACCCATTCGAGTTCCATCTGAGGGCCTGGCTAGTGCGTGACGCCCCGAACTGGACTCCTTGGCGTGTCCCCAATCAATCTCTACTTCCTTCCGCAAATGTGTCGGGCGATGGGCTCTCAGTCAGTTTGTTCCCGGAGCGCGTTCCTTGCTGCTTAGTCTCATTATTTTGGCCATCTGATCTTCAGCATCGAGTGAGCTTGGGTGGCAGCTGTAGATGAATGCCTGTAGTTCGTTGGAAATGCTTCTCGTGACACGCCAAGTTTCTGAACCATATAGCAGCACTGACCTGACATTGATGTCGAAAATTCTGATATCGTTCACGCTTTATGCTGATTGCAGTGCAGCAGATCTCCGCGGCCGTTTCGGATTATTGAGAGCCCGTCTTCCTCCTCCGATCCTGGCTTTGAAATCCACATCTATGCCTCTACTGCCTGTAGTTGAAACGATGCTGTGTAGGCAGGTAGGTAAAAAAGACTACTTCCTTTAGGTTGCACCCGTTGATGGTAATTGATGCTGTTGTTCGTTGGGCATCTTCATCATCTGTCCGCTCTACATTCACTTCAAGTCAAATATTCGCCGCCTTGCCTCCTCTGCCAACTGATTAGATTTTGCCTGCTGAAGGATCTGCGCTTGGACTTCTCACAGCTTCTGACGATTTATGTACAGTGTGGGGTTCCGTCAAGAACCGCCATTCTCATCCATTTTTTTATGGACGTACTTACGCAGGTCTTGCCCTCATTATCTGGCTTGATCAGGACTAACCTCGTCACATGACATTCGGCCTCCTGGACACCTTGAGTAACAACTTCGGCTGGATTTCTGGTCACCCAAAATGCAACGCTTGCCCCGCGAATGGTTTTTAGTGTTGCTCTGTCTCCTAGTGTACTGATCCCATAGCCTCCGAAGTGAGACCAGTCGTAGTGGACGGAATCTTCTCGAGGACTCAGAAAAACCACTCAGCCTGCTTGATTCGTAGCGTCTGCCCTGTTCTAAGTTGCTTACTGGGGGTCGACCGCACTTGTGCTACAGTCCCTCCTTTTCTGCTGCATGACAACAAGACGGTCGTGAGTCATAGCAAACAAGATTTCAGGTGACCGCCGATTCCTTGGTAGTAAAGTCGCTGTTCAGCTGCCACCACATCAGTAAACAAGAAACCAGCTGTAAGGCATTATAGAAAAGTAAGTTAGTGAAGGCTGTAAACCTTCACCGGACCCCACACCTGCGAAGTGTTACGCACGCCTAGTCAACATCTGTCCCGTAACAAAAGATTATCCAAGGTGGATCTAGGTCGGGTCAGATTAAATACGGTAATCATCCATGTAGTGTTCGAGCCATGATCAGATGGGTAAACTGCCCCGTCGTGGTGTAAATGGACCAAACGTGTTCTGTTGCGATACGCAATGGCGAAAATCTAAACTGTTACATGAAATCGCAAAACACAAATTTTACTATCCAAAAATTTATAATCCAACGAAACAAACTCAGTAAAAAACAGAGAACGGTCAACATCACTGATCAACTAACTCACGGTCTAAAAGACCGGAGATAAAAAAACAGACGTAATACTCCAATATCAAGCAGTTAACAAAGCAAAGGCAAGAAACAATGGGACAAGAAGTATGTTCGAAAACCGTCTACCAACTCATAAGTAAGAAAGGAATAAAAGTTAAACAACAAGGAAGGTAATAGAAGCTCATAACGGGACGTGCCCCGTTTAATTGTTGGAATCTTCAGGCTTCAATGAACCTGGTGTGACACATGCACCAGTCGAACCGTCCCCATTCTGACCTGGAGAAGCACGTCTGTCATCGGTAATGTCACGTTTTTGGTTTTGATGGCCTCTCAACACATCAATGCCTTCCTCACACTAAAAGCAAGAAAATAAAAATCAATAGCAACCAGTGACATTAAAACTGCTCATAGCGGTCAGATGGCTTACTTCCGTAAACTGTGAGTCGTGGAACTAAACAGCCAGACCAACGTCAGGCATACCAAAATTAGTATTCGAACCACATATTTCAGCTGGGAGTCGAAATTTTTGAACTAATAGGCTGCAGCTCGATGGATAAGTTACATGTAAATTAAGGAGAATTCAGAACAACGAGAACACCAATGACAAGAAAACTGCTCACAAGTTTTCATGTAGTCATTTTACAGTACATGTGTACAGATGTGGCTCACTGATGCGAGCAGCTAACTTTGAACCAATGGACCACGACTTCGTACCCTAACACTAATTACCAACTCGCCTACTGCATGGACTTACACATAGCTAGTGAGTGCATCTCGATTCAGAATTCCACTGTATGTATGACTCCGCTAAAAAAGGGCAGAGTGGTGTTATAAAAACTGTTATAACTTGGCCTACTTCTGATTGCCTTAAATGCGTAATTCTACCGATTCATTCCTAATGCTGACTATGCACGTATTATATTATTATAACTTGTCCCTTGTGTTCCTAGTGGAACATACGGCTTCAGTAGCACGTCTCCGTTCCACTCTGTTCTATGCAATCTTTTGAACCAAGCTCTACGACTGCCCAGATTTCTTCTCACACCATCTCATCCATATCACCCTCAGCTGGGACGCCCAACTCGTCGTCTCCCCTTTGGATTCCACTCGAGGCCATGACCTGGCACGTGATGTCCCCAAACGGTCTTCTCAATGTATCTCCAATCCACTTCATCTCCACCTGCTTCTGCGTATTTGTTGGGTGATAGGTTCTTGGTTGGTTCGTTGCCCAGCCAGCCAGAGTTCCTTGTTGCTTATTCTTATTATTCTGGCCATCTGATCTTCAGCATCGAGTGAGCGTAGGCAGCAGGTGTTGATGACGTATGTCTGCATTTTGTTGGAAATGTTTTTCGTGATGCGCCAAGTCTCTGAATCATCATACAGAAGCACTGATTTGACTGAATTAGTGTCGAAAATCAGATTATTGTTCACGCTTTATGCTGATTGCAGTGCAGTGCGACAGATCTCCACACTGATTTCAGATTGATGAAAGCCTGTCTCGCTGTCTTTCCTATCCTGGTTTTGACGTCCTCATCTGTCACCTGTAGTTGAAACGATGCTGTCTAGGCAGGTGAAAGAGGCTACTTCCTTTAAGTTTCTCCCGTTAACGGTTATTGGTGCTTGTTGTTGGTTGGCCATCTTCATCACCTGTCTTTTCTACATTCGCTTGAAATCCCGTCTTCGCTGCCCTGCTTCTTCAGTCAACTCGTTGGTTTCTGCCTGTAGATCTTCGAGTTTGTGAGATATTAGACACAGATCATCATCGGCGGCGAAACTCAAATCTTTTTCTAGGCTATTTTCATCAGTCCAGCCAGCGTATGCCCATCTTCTCACAGTTGTCGGTTGCATTATCCGGTTCACCACAATCAGGAATATCACCGGTGATAGTAGGAAACCTTGTTTTACTCCTGTCTTCACTTCAAAAGCATCACTGAGCTTCCCATTGTGAATTACTTGGCATGTGGCATCTTCATATAGCTGTTGTCGAATGAGGTAGATAGAGGTTTGTGGCACCAAAACCGTAGGGTCGAAGCAGCTGCCAAATTACTTCTCGGTCGACGCTGTCGAAGACCTTTTCAAAATCGATGAAGTTGAGGTTGAGTTGACTGCCATTCTATGCTGTTCTATGATGATGCATAGCGTTGCAATGAAGTCCACACATGATTTGTACTTCCTGAGTCCAGCCTGTTCCGGTCGACTTCGCACGTGGTTGCTCGCATATATGCTTGCCCATTATTCTATATTAAGCGCATCCGCGTGAGTTAAGCAATCGCCCCCCTCCCCCAACTGTCCGTGTCTTTTAGGTCATATGATTCATCTTTATATACAACTAAATTAAACTACCACAACGCACAATAACTTACAAAAATGAAACTGACAACTTCAAGCACCAAAACTACATAACGCAGAATGATGGATTTAGCTCAACATACAATTATTTTCGAACTGTAACTCACACGTAAGGGACTGAGAAGTCAGTCGAAAGCTAGTGAACCCAGCTGTGCAATGTCGCCAATTAGGTCACAATTAAAATGACTTTTATAAAAAGTAAACACTATCAGTGACTCATCTGAGATCCACATTTCCTACTTTTCGGCTATGACCATCACGAACAACATGAACCCCTATCTAACTAATAAATTAGACAGCGTAATGAGAAGACGAAGATTATCTGAAACATGTGATGTATTAGCGCTATACACTTCGAACAATCTGATCACACATAGACTTTTCGAACTATTTATATGAAAATTTACGAAAAGGTCAATGAAGTTAATGGGAAACATAGGAATAGGAAGAGATAGAAAAAAGGAAAACCTTATTCTTGGTATGAAAATTAAAATCAATACTACCAAGGTAGGTTCAACGTGAGTACGAATTGTTTTTGTATACATAAAGGGGGTTTAAATTTACGGATGGCAAGAGCTTCAATAAATTTAAGCACCCGGCTCTGACCACTTTTATGTAGTACTTTAAAGACTGTTTTCATGTCCATCCTATGGTTAGTTTCTAGTATATGTTTAGCGATAGACGAAGATGGATGTTTGTCACCTGCGCTTATCGGATCTGTTGAGGTCATTTGTTTTTGTAGCCACTTAGGTACATGTTCAACCTTCCTTAACTGCATATCACGACTACTCCTCCCTATATATGTGTCCACACATACATGTAAATTGATAAACAGTGGGATGTGATGTGATCGTTTATATGTTGTTTCGGTTTGTGCTGTAACATGGACTTGGTCTTCTCTACAATGATGACCTTAGCTGCATAATACGTTCTACAGATGGCCGATCTAAGTCTTTTCCTCACCACAAAGCTATGTGAATCACCTCTAAATGGTAATGAGATGTAAACATTTTTCTTTGCAACGGAACACTGTGTACTTTTCAATGGTACATAACTTTTGCACCGGTCGATAAATCTCAACGGGTATCCATTCTGTATCAGAGTTGTCGTCAGTAAGTTGGTTTCTTCCTCCCTGGTGGAGGGAGGAAATGTATAGCGCTAATACATCACATGTTTCAGATAATCTTCGTCTTCTCATTACGCTGTTTAAATTTATCAAAGGGACCAGTTGCTTTAATAAATTAGATGTTTTATATTATAACAAGTAACGTTATACCCACCACTGAACTGATCGGTTATTAAACCTGGCCCTACCACGAGGTTGTCTTTCACTCCTGAAATGTAAGGTGGGTATTTGTGAGGTTGGAATCAAAACAAGGAGAGCAACAAGTAACAATTACTTTGTCGATAGGAATTCGTTACGTAAAGCCAGAATATGGAAAGGTGTGTGTGAACTATGGATGCTTTGACGAAAATCTCCATGTTTACACTACAGTACGCTAACTGGCTCCGACAGCAATTCTAAGAACGATCCTATAACTATCAGTGGGTATAGAAGTTGTTCTTTATTCAGTTGTTTTTGCTCTCATCGGTTAATTTCTGCTGTCGGCTTCGAATGAAGCGCCAACTTGACGCATACTTTAATAACTGGGTTACCGTTAGCAAGCACCTATCGTCGAGTGAGCAGACACTATAAAATCTAGTACAACTGTGTGATGACCGATCTTGTCAAAGTCGGGTATAAATCTGACGAACAGAAAAAGTGTATCAAATGTTTAGTCACAATGAAGGGACAAACGACATGCGGTAGTGTGAAATGAGTCAAGAAGTGGACACAAGTTTCTCGTACTGGATTTTGAGCGACATTCCGTTTAGGATCACCCACTTCACAAAATTTACTGTGCAGTCTGGTAGTTACCTACAAGGTTTAGGTCAGCGGCTGTTGATCTTACGCAATAATAGGTCTTGGTCCACATACCTGTAGCTACCTTCCCACCTACCATGGGTCGACCGTTAGCAAGCCATACCAGTCTGGACTGCGAATTCCCAACAGCCCTGAAGTGTAAAACGCAAAACTTAAATGTACTGCTAGAAACACAAATTACCGAGTCGAAATTGTGTCTAGAAGAAAACATTTGAAAAACCATTTTTGATTACAAATAGGTTGCTAACTTACTTTCGCTCGCAACAGCTCCTCAGATTCTAAGAGATTGATAACTTCAGCATTATCGACGCATAGAAGCATTCCAGTAATTTTTTTTGCATCTTCAGGAAACATTGCCAAAACGCGCAGAAAGAGATGTTCGCCTAGCATGCGCTTCTGCTCCTCTTCAGGTAACTGGGCCAGAGTGCTTATTGTTAGCTGACTTTGATCCCCAAGTGGAGTTAGAACAGTAGGCATAGCACCAGCTTGGACCAGCTGAGGCTGAGCCGAAACGTTGCGTGCTGTTTGGTGGAATCGAACGTTGGCCGCAGTACCAGTCATACCAGCATGCATCACAGCCCTTGGAACTTGTGGTGCTACCTGTTGCTTCACAACAAAAAACAAAGCAATTTACAACTGACCACATATGTGCATTTTCAACATGTACCCAGGATAGCCTGCTTCCTTACGACTGAATAATGGCCTCAATGTATTCTACATTATGATTGTGTTAAATGTCATTACAACAGTCAAAGGTAAACAATTTGAAACTAAGTGGTTCATGCATCATACGATATGCTTATACGAACACTGCCAAATAGTACTTGTCGTCTTAAAACATGCAAGGTTGACAAAAAGAAATTTTCTTAGCTACAAATCATTTTGAAAAGCTGTACAATCGTATTCATACTGCAAAATATATATCTATTAGTGGTTGATGGGTGAATACAAGGCCATTAAGTTAAAATGTACACAACTGATATAATATATCACGCGATGAGTCTGTCAATTTATGGAATATCAACTGGTCTTCTTAGACAAACTTTGTCTAACTACAGCAGTAGTTGGGAACCAGGCAGTTAGTTTCTAAGTTTCAGAAATACCGAGCCATTACAATATTTTACCCATAGTTTACAAAACAACTTGGACGAACAGAATCACAACACAGCGATATTGTACTCGTAGTCAAACACTACAACTAAGTCAATACAAAACGAATAAACACAGATCGACTTACGCGAACAGGAGAGTTCACTGATGGTGGTCCTGCAACCACAGAAGCTGCAGTCTGTCGTTGGTTTAAGCCACCAGCTGTTGCTGCCAAAACCTGTGGCATAACTACCCCTTGTCTGCCGGACGCCTGTTGTCTCTGTTGATTTGCAGCTTGGTTGAGGACTGTAGCGGATTGTAAATGAGGGTTCGAGGGCAATGATGACATACCGTTAGGTACCATGGGACGGTTGACACCAGGTGAGCGCAACTGAGCGAACGCAGCCATGTGATTAGGTGTAATAGCAGCAGGATTATGTGCACCAAGATAGTGGCTTGCAACAGGCGGTCTGCCTGAAACAGCACCGATTTGCGCTGGTATTGCAGTACGATTCCAGCGAGGCTGAGAACCAAGAATTGCACCTGTCGGATGATAAAATCAGGAAACATTGCCAAAACGCGCGGAAAGAGATGTTCGCCTAGCATGCGCTTCTGCTCCTCTTCAGGTAACTGGGCCAGAGTGCTTATTGTTAGCTGACTTTGATCCCCAAGTGGAGTTAGAACAGTAGGCATAGCACCAGCTTGGACCAGCTGAGGCTGAGCCGAAACGTTGCGTGCTGTTTGGTGGAATCGAACGTTGGCCGCAGTACCAGTCATACCAGCATGCATCACAGCCCTTGGAACTTGTGGTGCTACCTGTTGCTTCACAACAAAAAACAAAGCAATTTACAACTGACCACATATGTGCATTTTCAACATGTACCCAGGATAGCCTGCTTCCTTACGACTGAATAATGGCCTCAATGTATTCTACATTATGATTGTGTTAAATGTCATTACAACAGTCAAAGGTAAACAATTGAAACTAAGTGGTTCATGCATCATACGATATGCTTATACGAACACTGCCAAATAGTACTTGTCGTCTTAAAACATGCAAGGTTGACAAAAAGAAATTTTCTTAGCTACAAATCATTTTGAAAAGCTGTACAATCGTATTCATACTGCAAAATATATATCTATTAGTGGTTGATGGGTGAATACAAGGCCATTAAGTTAAAATGTACACAACTGATATAATATATCACGCGATGAGTCTGTCAATTTATGGAATATCAACTGGTCTTCTTAGACAAACTTTGTCTAACTACAGCAGTAGTTGGGAACCAGGCAGTTAGTTTCTAAGTTTCAGAAATACCGAGCCATTACAATATTTTACCATAGTTTACAAAACAACTTGGACGAACAGAATCACAACACAGCGATATTGTACTCGTAGTCAAACACTACAACTAAGTCAATACAAAACGAATAAACACAGATCGACTTACGCGAACAGGAGAGTTCACTGATGGTGGTCCTGCAACCACAGAAGCTGCAGTCTGTCGTTGGTTTAAGCCACCAGCTGTTGCTGCCAAAACCTGTGGCATAACTACCCCTTGTCTGCCGGACGCCTGTTGTCTCTGTTGATTTGCAGCTTGGTTGAGGACTGTAGCGGATTGTAAATGAGGGTTCGAGGGCAATGATGACATACCGTTAGGTACCATGGGACGGTTGACACCAGGTGAGCGCAACTGAGCGAACGCAGCCATGTGATTAGGTGTAATAGCAGCAGGATTATGTGCACCAAGATAGTGGCTTGCAACAGGCGGTCTGCCTGAAACAGCACCGATTTGCGCTGGTATTGCAGTACGATTCCAGCGAGGCTGAGAACCAAGAATTGCACCTGTCGGATGATAAAATCAGGAAACATTGCCAAAACGCGCGGAAAGAGATGTTCGCCTAGCATGCGCTTCTGCTCCTCTTCAGGTAACTGGGCCAGAGTGCTTATTGTTAGCTGACTTTGATCCCCAAGTGGAGTTAGAACAGTAGGCATAGCACCAGCTTGGACCAGCTGAGGCTGAGCCGAAACGTTGCGTGCTGTTTGGTGGAATCGAACGTTGGCCGCAGTACCAGTCATACCAGCATGCATCACAGCCCTTGGAACTTGTGGTGCTACCTGTTGCTTCACAACAAAAAACAAAGCAATTTACAACTGACCACATATGTGCATTTTCAACATGTACCCAGGATAGCCTGCTACCAAACGAGGTTTCCACCTTGTTTTACTCCTGTCTTCAAAAGCATCACTGAGCTTCCCATTGTGAATTACTTGGCATGTGGCATCTTCATATGACTGTTGTTGAGTGATTTAGATAGTGGTTTGTGGCACCGAAACTGCAGTGTATCTCCAATCCAATCCATCTCCACCTGCTTGCGAGTATTTGTTGGGTGATAGGTCTTAATTGGTTCGTTGCCAGCCAGCCAGAGTTCCTTGTTGCTTTTTCTTCCTGACCATCTGATCTTCAGTATCAAGGCAGTGTAGGCAGCTATTGATGTGTCTGTAGTTTGTTAGAAATGCTTTTCGTGGCGCGCCGTTTCTACACCATATAGCAGCACTGACTTGACATTGGTTCTTTATGCTGGTTTCAGGTTAATGAACGCCTGTCTTACTGTCTTTCCGATCCTGGCTTTGACATCCTCATCTGTGCCTGTGCCGCCTGTAGTTGAGACGATGCCGTCAAGGCAGGTAGGTGAAAGAGACTACCTCCTTTAGGTTTCCCACATTGATGATGATTAATGCTTGTTGTTGGTGCTGTTGTTGGTTGAGTATCTTCGTCACTCCCGTCTTCCCTACATTCATTTGAAGTCCCATCTTCGCTGCCTTGCCTCTTCTGCCAGCTGATTAGATTTTGCCTGTGGATCTTGGAGTTTGTGCGAAAATAGACAAAACTCATCAGCGAATTCCAAATCTTCTAGGATCTTTTCATCGGTCCAGCCAGCGTATGCCCATCTTCTCACAGTTGTCGGTTGCATTATCCGGTTCACCACAATCAGGAATATCACCGGTGATAGTAGGAAACCTTGTTTTACTCCTGTCTTCACTTCAAAAGCATCACTGAGCTTCCCATTGTGAATTACTTGGCATGTGGCATCTTCATATAGCTGTTGTTGAATGAGGTAGATAGAGGTTTGTGGCACCAAAACCGTAGGGTTGAAGCAGCTGCCAAATTACTTCTCGGTCGACGCTGTCGAAGACCTTTTCAAAATCGATGAAGTTGAGGTTGAGTTGACTGCCATTCTATGCTGTTTATGATGTTGCGTAGTGTAGCGTTGCAATTTGATTTGCACATGATATGTTCTTCCTGAAGCCAGCCAGACCGATCCGGCCGACGTTTTGAATTCAGAGTATCTTCTAGTCTCTCCAGGGTGATGTGGCATAATATTTTGCTTGTGGCGGACAACAGCATGATTCCTCACCAGTTCCTGCAATGACCTACGTCACCCTTCTTCAAGAGCCTGACAAGGTAGCTCTTCTTCCAATCACTCCGCAGGTACCTTTCCTTCCTTTCCCGCAAACCTTCTGCAATAGTGGTGTGGGAATGTCCACTGTTGTCCCTGAGTCTGTTTTCAGTGCTTCTGGCAGAATTCCATCTAGTCCTGCTGCTTTCCTGGATTTCAGCAACCTTATGGCATTCAGGACTTCACTTCTGCTTCTGTCGGAGGATCTGTGTTCACTGGTAATTCTGTGGCTAGGCTGCTGGTGGTATTTCTGGACGAGTTGCAGGTGGCGGTGACGGTGGTGGTCGATTCAAGACCTTTCTGGGTTGGTCAGCCCATTACTTCCTTTGTTTCTCCTCTCCAGTAACTAGGCTTCCTTCACTATCTCTCATTGGTCTCATCTGTGTTATTCTTTTCCCTCTCAGACAGTAAGTAACCTGGTTATTTGATATAGTGTTGTCGGGTCTCTGTCTCTCCTCCCAACAGCCTGTTCTGCTTCACTTGCAAGTGTGTCGTAGAAGTGTCTTCTGTCTTTTCATGCACTCTTCTTCACTTCTTTGTCCAGTGTGGTGTTTTGTAGGTTGTATTCAGTTCCTCTTTTCGTTGTTCATCCCTGCACTGCACTGCACTTCACCCACTCCACTACACTTCACTGCTTCATCTTCTGCTTCACCATATTCCTCTCCCTTTCCCTCTTCCATCAGCCTCCATTTGTCCATCGAGATCGATTCCTTGTCCCGTCTTGTTTCTCCTTACTTTCTTACACGGTTGCGCAGGTTTCCTTCCACGTCTCTCTCAAGGAGTCCCAGTGTTCTTCCACGCAGATTTCTTCAGGGATGTCGCTTAGTGTCCCCCATTTTCCCCTGATGACTGACTGATGTGAAGATATCCTTTATGGTTTCGTCCCTCAGTTCAGTTTGTGTTCTGGGTGCTGAACTTGAACTGTGGGCGTCCATCGCCAGCTTATTTGAATTGAAGGCTTCCAACTTGATTTTGAAGGCAGGTTCCTTGCACTAGACAATCAGTGATGTGAACCCACATCTGCCCTCTTCTTGACCTGGTCATGTGTCCAGTAGGCTGCGCCTCCATTTTCTTCACATTGACAAATGATTTTTAGTGTAGTGTGTCCTGGTGTCTGGTGAAATCAAATTTACGTCACTGTCTTTTGAATATCCTTGTGTTTGTACACACCGCCTGCCTCCAATCACCAAATCGTTGAATGCGCAGAATTCTGCAGACAGTTCTCCGCTCTCGTTCACTTCACGAAGTGCTTCTCTACCCACGATGTGTTCTCTTCCTGTGTTGTCCGCTGCCAGCATGGCATTCATGTCACCCACCCATTAGAATTTTGATGTCGCCATCTGGGATGGGGTCTTGTCCATTACCGATTGCAGTTGTCTTATAATTCCTCCTTCTTCTCTTCATCTGCACTATTTGTAAGTGCGTAGCATAGCATAGCGTGGCATTGTGTGATTGTGACTTTCCTTCCTTTCGAGTTGAACCTTGCTTTCATGATCCTGACCCCACAGGAGGAGATTGGTTCCCAATGCATGAGAGAGAGCCTTCGATGATCTTCAAGGGGACATCATGATAGCCACTTTGAAACTCAGTGTGCTCGTGGTTGTCATCTGAGTGACAATATCGGAGTAGATCATTGACTACCCATTTGGCAGTTTGGAGAGTCCACTTCCATTCCATCTGCTTCCACAGACTCCTATCCTAGCACTTTAATGCCATACCTTCTCATCTCTTTGGCAATCTGGGAAGCCTTGCCAGACAGCTTCAAGTATTGTATAGACATTCCATCTCCCCAGGTTTACTTTCGCTTTCATCGGGAGAAGGGAAGACACATCGGTCAATTGGCTTCTCGAAGGCTTTCACCAACTGGCGTCATTTCGTCTCCCTGATTCCGATAAGCAATAGGTTTATTTTCATTATTTATATTCTTTTTTTGCTTTGAAATTTCTTAAGCGATTGAATTGATTTTACGGGGTGGGGTTGCTAGCCTTATGCCCAACCTTCCCTCTTTATCCCTGCATAGGGCCGCCTAGTAACTAATGAACTAGTAAACCAGGCGTGGTTGGGATATGGACCCAGGACCTATGAAGTGATAGATATAGATGGCTGAGGAAGTCCGCTGAAACGTTCAAACTGAGATGAAAACTTGCAAGTGAGAGTAAGAGGTAGGAGTTCATCGCATTGCATGCTGCAGTGTGTTTGAAGATTCTCAATGAACATTATCATTATTACATTATTATTAGTCCCTTGGGTTCCTAGTGGAACATAGGGCTTCAGTAGCACGTCTCCAGTGAATTCTGTTCTCTGAGATCGTTTGAACCTGGTCCCACGACAGCCCACAACCTCTCATTTCCTCCTCGCATGACCTCCTCCATGTCACCCTCGGACGTCCAACTCGTCGCTTCCCATGGGGATTCCACTCGAGGGCCTGACGCGTGATGTCCTCAGTCGGCCTTCTCAGTGCATGGCCAATCCATCTCCACTTCTTCCTGCATATTTGTTGAGTGATAGGTTCTTGGTTGGTTCGTTCCCAGAGCTCCTTGTTGCCTATTCTTTCTGGCCATCTGATCTCCAGTAGCGAGCGTAAGCAGTTGTTGATGAACGTCTGTAGTTTATTGGAAATGCCTTTCGTGACGCGCCAAGTCTCTGAGCCATACAAGAGCACTGACTTGACGTTGGTGTTGAAAATCCGTATCTTGTTCCGCATGCTGAGTGCAGAAGATCTCCACACTGGTTTCAGGCTAATGAACGCCTGTCTTGCTTTTCCAATTCTGACTTTGACGTCCTCGTCTGTGCAGCTGCCTGTAGTTGAAACAGTGCTTCCTAGATAAGTGAAGGAGGTTACTTCTTTCAAGTTTCTCCCGTTGACGGTGATTGGAGTTTGTTGTTGTTGTTGTTGATGGCGGTGGTGCGGTATCTTCATCACTTCTGTCTCCTCTATATTCACCTGAAGTCCCGTCTTAGCTGCCTCTTCTATCAACTTGTTAGTTTTTGCCTGCAGATCTTCAAGTTTATGTGACATTAGGCACAAGTCATCGGCGAAATCCAAGTCTTCTAGGTTCTTTTCCGTCGTCCAGCGTATCCCCCTCTTCTCGCTCCCCACCGTTTGCTGCATGATCCAGTCCACCACAATCAGGAATATCATGGGGGATAGTAGGCAACCTTGTTTCGCTCCTGTCTTCACTTCACTTCAAAAGCATCACTGAGCTTCCTATTGTGAATTACTTGGCTGGCATGTGGCATCTTCATATAGTTGTTGAATGAGGCTGATAAAGGTTTGTGGTATTCCGTAGTATTGAAGCAGTTTCCAAATTACTTCTCGGTCGACGCTGTCAAAGGCCTTCTCAAAGTCGATGAAGTTGAGGTAGAGAGCTGATTGCCATTCTATGCTCTGTTCTATGATGATGCGAAGCGTTGCAATTTGGTCTGCACATGACTTGTACTTCCTGAAGCCTGCCTGTTCCGGTGGTAGTTTTGAATCCAGTGCATCTTTAAGCCTCTCCAGGATGATGCGGCTTAATATTTTACTTGGGGTGGACAGGAGAGTGATTCCGCGCCAGTTCTTGCAAACACTGAGGTCTCCTTCTTCGGCAGTTTGACAAGGTAACCCTTCTTCCAATCACTAACCAGGTACCTTCTCTTCCTTCCACACCTTCTGCAATAGTGGTGTGAGCATGTCCGCTGTTGTCTCTGCATCTGTTCTCAGTGCTTCTGGCGGTATTCCATCTGGTCCTGCTGCTTTCCCGCATTTCAGTAGCTTTATGGCATTCAGGACTTCCATTTTCGTTGGGGATTTATGTTCGCTTGTAATTCAGCGGCTGCAGGTGGTATTTCTGGACGAAGTGCAGGTGGTGGTCGATTCAAGAGCTTCTTGAAGTGGTCAGTCCATCGTTTCCTCTGTTTCTCTTCTTTTGTAATTAAATTTCCTTCTTCACCCTTTATTGGTTTCATCTGTGTTGGTCTCTTCCCTGATAGCAACCTGGTCATTTGATACAATGTCGTCAGGCCTCTCTTACCTGCAGCCTGTTCTGCTTCACTTGCCAGTGTGTCGTAGAAGTGTCTTTTGTCTTTGCGTGCACTCTTCTTCACTTCTTTATCCAGTGTTTTATACATTGTACTCAGTTCCTCTTGTCGTTGTGTATCCTTGCACTGGTTTATCTTCTGCTTCACCATCCTCCTCTCCTCTATCAGCTTCCAGGTATCCGTCGAGATCCATTCCTTGTCTTCTTTCTTCTTCCTTCCTAATACGGCTGTGCAGGTTTCTTTCCATATCTCTTTCAAAGACTTCCAGTGCTCTTCCACACAGGTTTCTTCAGGGATGTTGCTGGATATCTCCCATTTTGTCTTGATGTCTGGCTGCCGTGAAGATTTCCTTTGTAGTTTCATCCTTCGGTTTCCGAGTGTTGTACTTGAATTGAGGTCTATCACCAGCTTCCTTGAAGGCTTTTAACTTGATTTGGAAGGTTTCTTGCACTAGGTAGTGGTCTGAACCTACATCTGCTCCTCTTCTTGACCCTGTGTTAAGTAGACTGCGTCTCCATTTTCTTGAGATTGAGATAAAGTCGATTTGATTTTTTGTGTGTCCATCTGGTGAAATCCATGTCGATTGGTTAATATCTTTGTGTCTGAACACACTGCCTGACTCCATTCACCAAATCGTTGAATGCACAGAATTCTGCAAACAATTCTCCATTCTCGTTCATCACCTCACCGAGCGCTTCTCGACCCATGGTTAGTTCTCTTCCCGTGTTGTCCCCTCCCAGTTTGGCATTCATGTCGCCCATCAGAATTTTGATATCGCCAACTGACGTCTTGTCCAGTGTTGATTGAAGTTGTCTGTAGACTTCCTCGTTTTTCTCTTGCTCTGCATTATTTGTAGGTGCATAACATTGTATGATTGTGATTTTTCTTCCTTTTGAGTTGAATCTTGCTGTCATGATCCTGATCCTGGAGGAGATTGGTTCCCACTGCATGAGAGAGAGCCTTCGATGCTCTTCAATGGGACATCATGATAGCCACCCCCTCAGTGTGCTCATGGTTGGCGTCTGGGTGACAATATCGGAGTAGATTATTGATTCTCCAGTTGACAGTTTGGAGAGTCCACTCCCATTCCATCTGCTTTCGCAAATCCCAAGCACTTCAATGTGATACCTTCTCATCTCCTTTGCAATCTGGGCTGCCTTACTGGGTTCAAACATCGTACGGACATTCCATGTCCCCACGTTTACTTTCGCTTTCATCGAGAGAAGACACATCGGCCAATTGGCTTCCCGAAGGCTTTCACCAACTGGCGTCATTTCGCCTCTCCGATTCCAGCGGGGAATAAGTTTGTTTTCATTTTTTATATTTTGTTTGTGCTTTAAGTTTGTTTAGCGGTTAGATTTGTTTTACGGGTAGGGTTGCTAGCCCTAATTTCAACCTTCCCTCTTTACCCGGGCTTAGGACCGGCTAGTAACTAGTAACTAGTTAACCAGGCGAGGTTAATGAAAATACGAGGCATTTTTCACCAGTTTCAGAGTACTAATGGTTACGTGGACTGATAATAGTGTTCATTTAAACGTATGACAGTAAATACTTTCAGCAATTACAAACAAAATGCGGAAAACGAGTGTAAGCCTAACCTTCGCGTGTCCCTATCATAATGGGTTGATAATAAGTTTCCACAAATCCCTTCACAACCGAATTCTCAGTGACCACTTGGACAACAACTGGTAAATTTACGCTAGCCAGTTTCATTTCATATGCTGCCTGAAGCGTACTTACTCCTGGAGATGAATATGTTATACTGGGATCACAATGAGTCACAATAAAATTAGCAAGACTCAGTACGCGTTCATATAAAAGGTTAATTAAGCGATAACTTTTGGATGCAATTGACTGGTCATATTGAGCGAAAGCTAAATTCCAAGAAGGGCTACTCTCTAAAATAACCGGGTTAGAGACAAAGTTTAGGCTGTTTATTTCGGATTAAATCACATAGCCAGGTCAGTTGGCACCAGTACTATAAGTCAAACTGCATGGCTTTTCTTTTCCCTTTCGTGGTCCCCCAGCAGAGGTAAAGTGGGGTCCGTCGAACCTTGTAAAGTTATCTTGACTTAGCAGAAAGTATCAAGGCAAGATTTCAGATCTCAGTAGCCGCGACAGGAGGAAACAGACACTGGCGTAATGGTCGAAGTCATATTTATCTAGGCTTTTGGGACTGTACTGATCAGTGACACCCAGTATTTTCCCCAGAACATGCAAGCACCAGTGAGTGTTGATAGAGGTAGCTACACACTCGTTACACCATTATGCCGTAATATACTGATCCCAGCGAAACATCCTTCAACATTTAAATGAGACTGTGTCGTCGTCATACAGGTTGTGTATCCAGTCTCTTGCAATGTAATTACATTATAGGCATTGGAAAATTGAAGGCATTGTAAATGTTCAACTTAAACCAGTAATGATCTGCATTTCAGGCTAAGCATTTTGGGCATGGTCAGCTCAAGCAAATTTACTCATTTTGAAGACCAACCCTTATGATCGCTCTTTATTACATCTGTAAAGGTCATGACGACAGGTCAATAGCTTGATAAAAATTTATTGCAGTGCTTTACAAAGTCTGGGAGTGTATTTTGACACATGGAGAGGAACGGAATAAGTGGGCAGCAGTATGAGATTATGACATTTCAGGCGATTTTCCAAAGAGATGGTCTACATCGACCTTCGTCACGACTGTCATTTTAAGTGCAAGTTTCGTGAACTAAGGAAGTACACTACAGTAGAAAACTTATAAGAAGCATCTACTTGCACTGATGAGTAAAAATTTTTTGTGTAAATCTTTTTGTCTTCATATTGTGAATTTAACATGAAAAGCATAACACAAAATAATGTTGAATTCCTGGACATCTATTTTAATACAGTGTTTTTAGAAGTGTTTTGATCATCAAGCCACATCCGTTCACTGCCCGGGAACTCAAGTTGGTGTGCAGCTGTTAGGGCAGCACGCTAATAACTTGCAAAAAATAGTTAAAACCTTCAAAAAAAAGCATAAAACCAAAAAATAAACTAAAAAGATGTCTGTTACTGTACCTAGTCAAGGAATCATGCATTCTTCGCTGTACGTTGGTGACCTCCATCCGTTAGCAACAGACAACACCTTACAAGCCAAATTCTCCGAGATCGGACCGGTTCTCAGTGCTCGTGTATGCCGTGATCTTGCCACTCGGCACTCTTTAGGATATGGTTATGTCAATTTTGAGGATCCAAAGCATGGTATTTCCTATTTCTGTTACTGATCTTTGCAGCTGAACGTGCGTTGGAAGTGCTTAATTACGAACCATTGATGGGACGTCCTATAAGAATCATGTGGTCTCAACGTGATCCATCCTTAAGGAAGTCTGGTAAGGGGAATATATTTATCAAGAATCTGGATAAGTCTATCGAACAAAAAGAGCTATATGACACATTTGGCTACTTCGGAAGGATATTATCATGCAAGGTATGTTTGTGTGATTGGGCAACTAATCCCTCAGATTGTCATGGATGAAAATGGTCAATCTAAAGGATATGGATTTGTGCACTTCGAGAAGGAAGAATGTGCTGAGCGTGCTATCGAAAAGATCAACAATATGATTATTCGCGACCGTGTCGTTTATGTTGGCAAGTTTATACCCAAAGCTGAACGTAAGTCACAGGCTCGGAAACTACGATTCAATAATCTGTACATCAAGAACTTTCCTCCAGAAACTGATGATGACAAATTGATGGAGATGTTTACTGAATTCGGTGAGATCAAGAGTGCATGCGTGATGAAAGATAGCGATGGGAAGTCGAAAGGCTTTGGATTTGTGTGTTACTTAGACCCAGATCATGCTGAGAACGCAGTTAGAACTATGCATGGAAAAGAGATTGAAGGGAGGGCACTCTATTGCGCCCGTGCCCAGCGAAAAGAAGAACGGCAAGAAGAGCTAAAACAAAGGCTGGAGAAACAGCGAGCTGAACGCCAGTCAAATTACATGTCGGATGTAAACTTGTACGTCAAAAACTTGGATGACAACATTGATGATAAGCGACTAGAAGAGGCGTTTAGTGCATATGGATCTATCACCAGTGCGAAGGTCATGAGAGATGCCAGTAATCGGTCGAAGGGTTTTGGCTTTGTATGCTTTGCTGATCGACAGCAAGCTACTAAGGCCGTCACTGAGATGAATGGAACCATAATAGGTTCCAAACCTCTGTATGTTGCTTTGGCACAAAGGAAGGAAGACCGTCGAGCAAAGCTGATTGCTGAGCACCAACAACGCATGGCTCAGTACAGGAGTTCCGTTGGCCAGATAATCCCAGCAGTACCTGGCCACCCAGCACCGCACAACTACTTCCCCCCTGCATTCCAACAGACCCCAAGATTTTATCATCCGACAGGTGCAGTTCTTGGTTCTCAGCCTCGCTGGAATCGTACTGCAATACCAGCGCAAATCGGTGCTGTTTCAGGCAGACCGCCTGTTGCAAGCCACTATCTTGGTGCACATAATCCTGCTGCTATTACACCTAATCACATGGCTGCGTTCGCTCAGTTGCGCTCACCTGGTGTCAACCGTCCCATGGTACCTAACGGTATGTCATCATTGCCCTCGAACCCTCATTTACAATCCGCTACAGTCCTCAACCAAGCTGCAAATCAACAGAGACAACAGGCGTCCGGCAGACAAGGGGTAGTTATGCCACAGGTTTTGGCAGCAACAGCTGGTGGCTTAAACCAACGACAGACTGCAGCTTCTGTGGTTGCAGGACCACCATCAGTGAACTCTCCTGTTCGCGTAAGTCGATCTGTGTTTATTCGTTTTGTATTGACTTAGTTGTAGTGTTTGACTACGAGTACAATATCGCTGTGTTGTGATTCTGTTCGTCCAAGTTGTTTTGTAAACTATGGGTAAAATATTGTAATGGCTCGGTATTTCTGAAACTTAGAAACTAACTGCCTGGTTCCCAACTACTGCTGTAGTTAGACAAAGTTTGTCTAAGAAGACCAGTTGATATTCCATAAATTGACAGACTCATCGCGTGATATATTATATCAGTTGTGTACATTTTAACTTAATGGCCTTGTATTCACCCATCAACCACTAATAGATATATATTTTGCAGTATGAATACGATTGTACAGCTTTTCAAAATGATTTGTAGCTAAGAAAATTTCTTTTTGTCAACCTTGCATGTTTTAAGACGACAAGTACTATTTGGCAGTGTTCGTATAAGCATATCGTATGATGCATGAACCACTTAGTTTCAAATTGTTTACCTTTGACTGTTGTAATGACATTTAACACAATCATAATGTAGAATACATTGAGGCCATTATTCAGTCGTAAGGAAGCAGGCTATCCTGGGTACATGTTGAAAATGCACATATGTGGTCAGTTGTAAATTGCTTTGTTTTTTGTTGTGAAGCAACAGGTAGCACCACAAGTTCCAAGGGCTGTGATGCATGCTGGTATGACTGGTACTGCGGCCAACGTTCGATTCCACCAAACAGCACGCAACGTTTCGGCTCAGCCTCAGCTGGTCCAAGCTGGTGCTATGCCTACTGTTCTAACTCCACTTGGGGATCAAAGTCAGCTAACAATAAGCACTCTGGCCCAGTTACCTGAAGAGGAGCAGAAGCGCATGCTAGGCGAACATCTCTTTCCGCGCGTTTTGGCAATGTTTCCTGAAGATGCAAAAAAAATTACTGGAATGCTTCTATGCGTCGATAATGCTGAAGTTATCAATCTCTTAGAATCTGAGGAGCTGTTGCGAGCGAAAGTAAGTTAGCAACCTATTTGTAATCAAAAATGGTTTTTCAAATGTTTTCTTCTAGACACAATTTCGACTCGGTAATTTGTGTTTCTAGCAGTACATTTAAGTTTTGCGTTTTACACTTCAGGGCTGTTGGGAATTCGCAGTCCAGACTGGTATGGCTTGCTAACGGTCGACCCATGGTAGGTGGGAAGGTAGCTACAGGTATGTGGACCAAGACCTATTATTGCGTAAGATCAACAGCCGCTGACCTAAACCTTGTAGGTAACTACCAGACTGCACAGTAAATTTTGTGAAGTGGGTGATCCTAAACGGAATGTCGCTCAAAATCCAGTACGAGAAACTTGTGTCCACTTCTTGACTCATTTCACACTACCGCATGTCGTTTGTCCCTTCATTGTGACTAAACATTTGATACACTTTTTCTGTTCGTCAGATTTATACCCGACTTTGACAAGATCGGTCATCACACAGTTGTACTAGATTTTATAGTGTCTGCTCACTCGACGATAGGTGCTTGCTAACGGTAACCCAGTTATTAAAGTATGCGTCAAGTTGGCGCTTCATTCGAAGCCGACAGCAGAAATTAACCGATGAGAGCAAAAACAACTGAATAAAGAACAACTTCTATACCCACTGATAGTTATAGGATCGTTCTTAGAATTGCTGTCGGAGCCAGTTAGCGTACTGTAGTGTAAACATGGAGATTTTCGTCAAAGCATCCATAGTTCACACACACCTTTCCATATTCTGGCTTTACGTAACGAATTCCTATCGACAAAGTAATTGTTACTTGTTGCTCTCCTTGTTTTGATTCCAACCTCACAAATACCCACCTTACATTTCAGGAGTGAAAGACAACCTCGTGGTAGGGCCAGGTTTAATAACCGATCAGTTCAGTGGTGGGTATAACGTTACTTGTTATAATATAAAACATCTAATTTATTAAAGCAACTGGTCCCTTTGATAAATTTAAACAGCGTAATGAGAAGACGAAGATTATCTGAAACATGTGATGTATTAGCGCTATACATTTCCTCCCTCCACCAGGGAGGAAGAAACCAACTTACTGACGACAACTCTGATACAGAATGGATACCCGTTGAGATTTATCGACCGGTGCAAAAGTTATGTACCATTGAAAAGTACACAGTGTTCCGTTGCAAAGAAAAATGTTTACATCTCATTACCATTTAGAGGTGATTCACATAGCTTTGTGGTGAGGAAAAGACTTAGATCGGCCATCTGTAGAACGTATTATGCAGCTAAGGTCATCATTGTAGAGAAGACCAAGTCCATGTTACAGCACAAACCGAAACAACATATAAACGATCACATCACATCCCACTGTTTATCAATTTACATGTATGTGTGGACACATATATAGGGAGGAGTAGTCGTGATATGCAGTTAAGGAAGGTTGAACATGTACCTAAGTGGCTACAAAAACAAATGACCTCAACAGATCCGATAAGCGCAGGTGACAAACATCCATCTTCGTCTATCGCTAAACATATACTAGAAACTAACCATAGGATGGACATGAAAACAGTCTTTAAAGTACTACATAAAAGTGGTCAGAGCCGGGTGCTTAAATTTATTGAAGCTCTTGCCATCCGTAAATTTAAACCCCCTTTATGTATACAAAAACAATTCGTACTCACGTTGAACCTACCTTGGTAGTATTGATTTTAATTTTCATACCAAGAATAAGGTTTTCCTTTTTTCTATCTCTTCCTATTCCTATGTTTCCCATTAACTTCATTGACCTTTTCGTAAATTTTCATATAAATAGTTCGAAAAGTCTATGTGTGATCAGATTGTTCGAAGTGTATAGCGCTAATACATCACATGTTTCAGATAATCTTCGTCTTCTCATTACGCTGTCTAATTTATTAGTTAGATAGGGGTTCATGTTGTTCGTGATGGTCATAGCCAAAAAGTAGGAAATGTGGATCTCAGATGAGTCACTGATAGTGTTTACTTTTTATAAAAGTCATTTTAATTGTGACCTAATTGGCGACATTGCACAGCTGGGTTCACTAGCTTTCGACTGACTTCTCAGTCCCTTACGTGTGAGTTACAGTTCGAAAATAATTGTATGTTGAGCTAAATCCATCATTCTGCGTTATGTAGTTATCCTCATCTTAACAACGCTATACCGAATCTCACTATTTTGTCACTCCTCTTTCCTTTCTTCTCATACTTTATATTTCTTTTGACTGCATTCACTTATCTTCATCCTTCACCTCACTACCTTTTTACTTGATGTGCTGATATGAGGTGTGGCAACTCAGACCGTTACGCAGTAATGCCTGGTCCTATGTTGATAATGATGATGATGATGTAGTTTTGGTGCTTGAAGTTGTCAGTTTCATTTTTGTAAGTTATTGTGCGTTGTGGTAGTTTAATTTAGTTGTATATAAAGATGAATCATATGACCTAAAAGACACGGACAGTTGGGGGAGGGGGGCGATTGCTTAACTCACGCGGATGCGCTTAATATAGAATAATGGGCAAGCATATATGCGAGCAACCACGTGCGAAGTCGACCGGAACAGGCTGGACTCAGGAAGTACAAATCATGTGTGGACTTCATTGCAACGCTATGCATCATCATAGAACAGCATAGAATGGCAGTCAACTCAACCTCAACTTCATCGATTTTGAAAAGGTCTTCGACAGCGTCGACCGAGAAGTAATTTGGCAGCTGCTTCGACCCTACGGTTTTGGTGCCACAAACCTCTATCTACCTCATTCGACAACAGCTATATGAAGATGCCACATGCCAAGTAATTCACAATGGGAAGCTCAGTGATGCTTTTGAAGTGAAGACAGGAGTAAAACAAGGTTTCCTACTATCACCGGTGATATTCCTGATTGTGGTGAACCGGATAATGCAACCGACAACTGTGAGAAGATGGGCATACGCTGGCTGGACTGATGAAAATAGCCTAGAAAAAGATTTGAGTTTCGCCGCCGATGATGATCTGTGTCTAATATCTCACAAACTCGAAGATCTACAGGCAGAAACCAACGAGTTGACTGAAGAAGCAGGGCAGCGAAGACGGGATTTCAAGCGAATGTAGAAAAGACAGGTGATGAAGATGGCCAACCAACAACAAGCACCAATAACCGTTAACGGGAGAAACTTAAAGGAAGTAGCCTCTTTCACCTGCCTAGACAGCATCGTTTCAACTACAGGTGACAGATGAGGACGTCAAAACCAGGATAGGAAAGACAGCGAGACAGGCTTTCATCAATCTGAAATCAGTGTGGAGATCTGTCGCACTGCACTGCAATCAGCATAAAGCGTGAACAATAATCTGATTTTCGACACTAATTCAGTCAAATCAGTGCTTCTGTATGATGATTCAGAGACTTGGCGCATCACGAAAAACATTTCCAACAAAATGCAGACATACGTCATCAACACCTGCTGCCTACGCTCACTCGATGCTGAAGATCAGATGGCCAGAATAATAAGAATAAGCAACAAGGAACTCTGGCTGGCTGGGCAACGAACCAACCAAGAACCTATCACCCAACAAATACGCAGAAGCAGGTGGAGATGAAGTGGATTGGAGATACATTGAGAAGACCGTTTGGGGACATCACGTGCCAGGTCATGGCCTCGAGTGGAATCCAAAGGGGAGACGACGAGTTGGGCGTCCCAGCTGAGGGTGATATGGATGAGATGGTGTGAGAAGAAATCTGGGCAGTCGTAGAGCTTGGTTCAAAAGATTGCATAGAACAGAGTGGAACGGAGACGTGCTACTGAAGCCGTATGTTCCACTAGGAACACAAGGGACAAGTTATAATAATATAATACGTGCATAGTCAGCATTAGGAATGAATCGGTAGAATTACGCATTTAAGGCAATCAGAAGTAGGCCAAGTTATAACAGTTTTTATAACACCACTCTGCCCTTTTTTAGCGGAGTCATACATACAGTGGAATTCTGAATCGAGATGCACTCACTAGCTATGTGTAAGTCCATGCAGTAGGCGAGTTGGTAATTAGTGTTAGGGTACGAAGTCGTGGTCCATTGGTTCAAAGTTAGCTGCTCGCATCAGTGAGCCACATCTGTACACATGTACTGTAAAATGACTACATGAAAACTTGTGAGCAGTTTTCTTGTCATTGGTGTTCTCGTTGTTCTGAATTCTCCTTAATTTACATGTAACTTATCCATCGAGCTGCAGCCTATTAGTTCAAAAATTTCGACTCCCAGCTGAAATATGTGGTTCGAATACTAATTTTGGTATGCCTGACGTTGGTCTGGCTGTTTAGTTCCACGACTCACAGTTTACGGAAGTAAGCCATCTGACCGCTATGAGCAGTTTTAATGTCACTGGTTGCTATTGATTTTTATTTTCTTGCTTTTAGTGTGAGGAAGGCATTGATGTGTTGAGAGGCCATCAAAACCAAAAACGTGACATTACCGATGACAGACGTGCTTCTCCAGGTCAGAATGGGGACGGTTCGACTGGTGCATGTGTCACACCAGGTTCATTGAAGCCTGAAGATTCCAACAATTAAACGGGGCACGTCCCGTTATGAGCTTCTATTACCTTCCTTGTTGTTTAACTTTTATTCCTTTCTTACTTATGAGTTGGTAGACGGTTTTCGAACATACTTCTTGTCCCATTGTTTCTTGCCTTTGCTTTGTTAACTGCTTGATATTGGAGTATTACGTCTGTTTTTTTATCTCCGGTCTTTTAGACCGTGAGTTAGTTGATCAGTGATGTTGACCGTTCTCTGTTTTTTACTGAGTTTGTTTCGTTGGATTATAAATTTTTGGATAGTAAAATTTGTGTTTTGCGATTTCATGTAACAGTTTAGATTTTCGCCATTGCGTATCGCAACAGAACACGTTTGGTCCATTTACACCACGACGGGGCAGTTTACCCATCTGATCATGGCTCGAACACTACATGGATGATTACCGTATTTTAATCTGACCCGACCTAGATCCACCTTGGATAATCTTTTGTTACGGGACAGATGTTGACTAGGCGTGCGTAACACTTCGCAGGTGTGGGGTCCGGTGAAGGTTTACAGCCTTCACTAACTTACTTTTCTATAATGCCTTACAGCTGGTTTCTTGTTTACTGATGTGGTGGCAGCTGAACAGCGACTTTACTACCAAGGAATCGGCGGTCACCTGAAATCTTGTTTGCTATGACTCACGACCGTCTTGTTGTCATGCAGCAGAAAAGGAGGGACTGTAGCACAAGTGCGGTCGACCCCCAGTAAGCAACTTAGAACAGGGCAGACGCTACGAATCAAGCAGGCTGAGTGGTTTTTCTGAGTCCTCGAGAAGATTCCGTCCACTACGACTGGTCTCACTTCGGAGGCTATGGGATCAGTACACTAGGAGACAGAGCAACACTAAAAACCATTCGCGGGGCAAGCGTTGCATTTTGGGTGACCAGAAATCCAGCCGAAGTTGTTACTCAAGGTGTCCAGGAGGCCGAATGTCATGTGACGAGGTTAGTCCTGATCAAGCCAGATAATGAGGGCAAGACCTGCGTAAGTACGTCCATAAAAAAATGGATGAGAATGGCGGTTCTTGACGGAACCCTACACTGTACATAAATCGTCAGAAGCTGTGAGAAGTCCAGGTGCAGAACCGTCAGCGGTGATATGCTCACACAGTACGCATTGCAGTAGGGGACACTGCCATTGTTCTAGTCTTTCCGCCGTGATAGCGGAGCCACAGGAACGTCATTTCCGCTCTAGATTTCCGGCACGTTTGTTTTGTCTCATGCTGTTGCCTTTTGTGGGCTTCTTGTCATTCGACAACATGGTCTGTCCCTTGTCATTGTGCTGGGGGCGGCAGCGATACTTTCGGGTGAATTTAGTAATTGCTGACAGCATCTATGGTGTTCTTAGTGTCTAGCTACACTTGCAATGGTCTTCCAGCTTAATTTGTTCACGCCCATCTGAGTGCAGACGTGCTTCAACCATCAGGTGGTTGCTCCCAAAATACATGCTACAGAATGAGCGGCAATCTCCCGGCTATAACTAGTTGTAGCATGGTCTATCGTTGCCGTGTGTGATAGTGTATCTTGGTTTAAAGTTCGCTCTTGCCACCAGAGATGGTCATCTGAGCACAGTTGTAGCAGGCCATAGTCCATTTGCTTATTCGGTTGGGATTCCGAAACGGCCATCTGAATGCCTTTCTGCCTGAAATACTCCACCCCCCTTTTAACTGAAAGCACCTAAAACTTCTTAATGTTTGTCTTTTAGTAGGAGGATGGTATCCACAGAAGTCATCCAAACTGCAGTAAGTGGATGTGTATTTCGGAGATTAGAGCGGGACAGCGGCGAGTTTCACTATCCTTCTTAGTCCTAACTGTGCCGCCCAGTAGGACAGTAACTAGGCGGCTGTCAACTGGGTTCCAGACGAGTAGTGTACTATCTGCCTTAGCACTTAAAGCTATACTAACACTTGCAAAACAGCAACAACCAGCCATGGAATCTCCAAAAACTCAAAGGCTGAGTTTCGCGAATCCACCATACTGACCGAGCCACGTTGTGAACAACCACACTTGGGTCCTGTATGTATGTCTTAGAAATACAGCACACGTCTATGGTTCGAGTTGCCACAGTACTGGCTGGTGAGGCTTACTGGTCGGTTTAGTGGAGGATGGGTGGGGACATTAGAACTCATGTGTAGTTTAGAGCGCTGTTTCAGATAGCCAGTGATGCTGTTGTGTGGTTTAAGAGCTACAGAGCTGGAAGAAACTAAAGATGATGTCGGGATGCAGGCCGAGAGATGTGAAGGCATATTCGAAGTTAGGGAATTGGGAGTTGAAGACTGATTTGGGGGTTTGTTGAGTGTTTAGAGAGTTGTGAGGTTATTTGACTCTTTCTAGCTGCTCACACTGGGAAGCTGTTTCTGGAAGAGAAGGGTTAGTGGGTGACTGTGGAATGCAATTGGGAACAACAGAAGGCTGGTTACACACGGTAGTCTAGTTTGTCCTTTGTAAATCTGACTATGAGTCCGTAATGTTGGTACCGGTATGGGGTGGAGCAAGGAGTGGTTATTTTGCAGTCGATATTTCCTAAACCCCCGCGTTGCACATAGGAAGGGCAGCATGGCAGGTTCGTTCATCTGCGGGAAACACCTTACTGCTGTCCGATACGGTCCAACCAGCAGTACAACTTCGTCCTGAAAATCTGATTTAATTATGATGTAGTTTCATTGGTTGTGGCCACTAGTGGGATCTAAATTCTTACCAACTCAACCAAACAACTCAGTCCGATTTAACAACCGATGAGAAAGTACTAGTTTCAGTTTGATTTTTCCATACAAATCCGTTGTAGACATACTTGTCTTCTGTTATCATTAGATCTGATTAGACAAATTTGCCGTCCATTCGATATTCATGTTACCGCTAAAGTGATGTCGAGGTTAAATCCGATCCCCATTTTAGTAGTAGCTGTTTCAGAACTGTAAGGTTTCAACAAACTGAGAAAATAGTCCCACACTAACTATTTTAGCGACTCGAGTAGTTTGATTAAAGAGTGTTCTGACTGATATATTGTGGTGTTAGGACCATTTGTAAGTACGTAGGTCAGTGTGGAAGTCGATGTCATTGGTTGGATTGCCTTCGTCGACTCAGCATCTAGACTTCAGGTATAAGTATATCGATAAACATTCCTAAGGATTAATGTGTTGTCTTCCTTTATCTTAAGTGTAGTTGCGCCTCAGTGCTTTATGTAGCTGGTTCTCAAATGATGGATGGCAGGTGAAATTATGCTTCACCTACCTAGGTTTAGATAAGCTGGTAATATCATCGTCCGTCCCAATGAGTGTAATTCATCCCTTTTTGCCTTGATTTTCAGCTTTCAAGTACAGGAAGTGGTATTATCCTGCGTTATCTATCACACGATATTATTTTTCAAACGGTTGTTAGGTGCATTTTAATTTTGAAGACAATCTGAAGGTTCACGCACTAAACAGCTGGTAGTGATATATGTTTTGGTCTTACTTGGATCTTTCTGCTGTAGGTAGGTAGGTTGTTGCAGGGGGCACGTGAAGCAGTGTGAGTTTAGTGAAGGCCACGAGAATCTGAAAGGGATATGAGGAAGAGAAAAAGGTAACCGGACGACTCAGCAAGTTCCAAAAATGTACTTACATCTAATAATAAAAGACAACTGACAAGCGGTTGAGCTTGATGACGAAGAGGTAAGGCAGCCTAGAAATAGAAACTGGAAGGTGAATTAGTAAGATTTCTAGTCCGTTACATTCACACCCATCCATCATCATGGCTTTGGGTCTGAGGATCCTTTATTTTCAAACATGAAGCCTGTTTTCCATTTTCGGGACTGCTTAAAATTCTCAGTATGAATTTGCATGTTATTATCTGTACGTAATGTCTTCATACTTTCTGCGCTTCCATCTAACATTTGATATCTACAGTCATCGTATAGCTTTGTATTACTGTCTTACATAATATGGCAAGCATGTACCTATTATAGAAATTGAGACGTCAGGCGAATTAAAGGTCAGGTATGTTTGCACGAATCCAAGCTAGGAGAGGGACTACGTTGGAGAGTTCGGGCTGCTTATAGTACCAGTAAGATGTCGTGTTGTTTGTGACTATCGAATGTCCTCAGAAGCAATACTATGGAAGGTTAGGAATCTCAGAAAACTTCATTCAACCACTCTGTTTTATATCAGTGCTGTGGTACAGAAGAATTGCATAGAAACACAAAAGTTAGTCGTAGAGTGTTAAGTTGATGAGGTTGTAAACTTTTATTGACTGAAGTGATCAGGATAAATTTTAAGCCTGGATACCTACCGATTACTAGTCGTAGTATCTGTTGGAAAGATGAAAACCGATAAGTTAGTTCCAGTTATATTAATTGAGGTGATCAAGTTGAAATAAAGCATAAGTTCAGTTACTGAATGTTGGTTTGAGTCAGTTTGTGAGATTTCGGTTTCCTGAATACCACTCATGCGAGAACAGATCGAAGGTTCAATAATAAGTGATATACCTAAGAGGAGCTACAGTCCATTGGGGTAGACACTTAACTTCAGTTAATATTTTGCAAGTCTCAATCATATTCAGCTACTGATGTTCTAGAAAACAAATAGCACCAGAAAACCCTTATACAGAGCTCTAATTAAAAATTAACACAAACCCACACTTCGTGGTTTAGTTACATTGGAATAACTCGAAATCGGCAGCACTGATCCAGATGCATCTATATCGTATCTTCATATTAATCTTGAGAATCATACTAACACATAATCCTACTTTTTATACTTCCTTTGCCTTTTCTCAGAACTTTTCACGGTTGCTGACACTACTTTACTTCACTTTGGTTAAATATCCTATCGATGTGCTGATATAGAGTATTAAGACTTATACTGAAAAGCAATTATGACCGGTCTTCTGTTATTCTACTGAACGTTATTGTATTTTTGGGCTAGATGACCGTATCCACGGGTTGTGTTTTTGTCAATCAAAGCATTTCTACAGGTTTATTTTATCACACTTCTCACTGGCATTGAGTGATTCCGTAAGCGTTCAAAGTTGAAAACTTAGGTTGCATCTAAAAAAATACACTAAGTGTCCCCAGTAAAACGAATGCACCATGTCGAATTAGATTCACTGTCAATTATCCAGAGTAACTAAAATGCATTATTCCTTCCGAATATCACACCACCTGTTGACATATACAAAAGTAACACTTACTGATATGGCAAAACTAGGCATCGGCGTGTTTGCCTTTCTTGATTCAGTCAGTTTGTGCTCAGATATTTCTGTAAGAATCTCTGCTATACAATGTAAAGCTCTTCATAGCTATGGAATGTTTGGTGAGAATCACAAACAGTTAGCCATCTTTCAGCGCCCGATGTGATGATCGCATGATAAGAGAGGATGACATTTTTAAAAACGATTACAACCTTTCTACCAAAACTTTTTAACCTGTAATAGTGAACATTGCAGAAAATGCCTAAATTAAAAGTGCCTTCCATAAAATTTTGTTTTTCAGACTGTTTTAATAGTTCGAAAATTTGAGGTAAACAAAATCAATAAATAACCAGAATCTCCTCTAAGAATATATTTTTTGAAACTAGGAGTTCGTTCTACAACTGTTTGGTTTCTACATGTAGGTGGTTACGCAGTAAACTCACAGATAAAAATTATTTGTCATTTTTGGATCTGAGTGTAAATCAACAAATACCTGCAGGTTCCTATACTAGGGAATAAGTAAAGGTAACTGTGTGAAAGTATAATACATTTACGACCTTACTTATCCATTTTTTAGTTTCTATTCCTAGATTACCTCTTCTTTCCCCTGTGATTCACTATCATTTGTTGATTATCTTTTAATGTACATCATTCGCGCTTGCTGAATCATTGGCTCACGTTTTTCTCTTCCTCTTGTCTCTTCCATTTTCTCATGGTCACTGGTAAGCTGACACTGTTCTGCGCACCCCCACTGCGGCAGCTTACCTACAGGTTAGATTAAAACCAACCATCAGCTGGTTGTTATACAAGCTGATTATGCTACCTGGCTGCCCAGACCTTGGTAGGTGCAGCGAAAATGAATCTGCTAACTTGTTATCCTTAGGACATTAGATGACTTATTTTGCAGCTGTTTAGAAAGCTCTGGAAGATTTGGACTTTAAAGTGAACTCAGTATATTAAAATGTTAACACCATTAATTGGTTCACATTAGATAAACGTAATTTTCCTGTGTATCATTCTTTGTCAGAAATAACCCTAAGATCATTCTGACTACTACTGCGAAATGCCAAAGAAATCAAGCATAGATATTCCAAGCAAACTTCATTTCGCACAAAGGTTTTAAAGTGTAGTATAGCGTCGTTTCAAGAGGTTGGAATAAAAGCCAGTGACTTGAACACAGAGTGCTGATAGATATTCAAAGATTCATATCCATGCTCTTTAAATTCATGCACACTCAATAGCATAAAGTATTGTCAATTTCCAGAGAAGTTTATCTCTCAGTTCACTGACTG